TCATTTATCATTTTCATGTAGTTTACCAATCTACAGTTAACAAAGAAAGTGAAGCGGAACACTTTCAATGTTAAAGTTTAGTTTAGTCTCTGATGTTTGTTCCTCTTTTTTAAAAAAAATAAATTATAAATATTTCATACTATATGTTTTATGTAAAGTGATATTGAATAAACTGATAATGCTGTAATTATAAAATGAGTATGTAGTAATAATTTAATGAATTAGCACTTGTAATTAACTGGACAGGCATAATCAATGATAAAAATTTAACACAATTAAAGGTGATAATTACCGGTACCTAGATATAAGTTCAAGTTCAATTTATTCACTCAAACCAATTAATGGTACATGAGGTTCTATGTACAATATATACAAAAACAATATACAAGATACACGTGAAATGGCGGAAATACATTCAAATTATAAAGTAACCAAAAAAAAAAAAAAAAAAAAAAAATAATAATAATAATAATTATGGAGGACAGACTTGTGCATATACCCTATCTATGTAGCTGCATAGTTTGATTAATACCTTGGAGTCAGCAGTTGACAACAATTCTGAGAATTTGTAGAAATTTGGTCTATTACAATATTTACCAGGTAGATACTTTTTTCTGCATTCTGAGAAAAATTGACATTCTAAAATATAGTGATACTCATCAGCTATTTGTCCATTATTACAGATATTACAGAGTCTATCATTTTTGGGAATTCCAAACCATCTCCCAGTCTCAACTGGGAGATGATGATTTGCTGTTCTTAATTTAATTAAAATTGTTCTAAATTTTTTAGGTAGAAAGTCTAAATATTTTTCAAATCCAAATTCTGTTTTGAAGATACTATACATATGACCTTTAGACGAATCGCGCATATCACTTTGCCATTTCTGTATGTACTGATCTTTAAGACGTTGTTCAACTATAATTTTTAGCCATTTTATATTTAAAAAGGCCTGTTCATTCCATATATTTGAGAAGCCACAAGTATCAAGTATATTCTTAATACATAAAATCCAAGGGTTCTTATGACTTCCTGAACAAAACTGTTCAAATAAATTCTTATATGTAACATAAACAATCTTATTTTCAGGGCTTACCAGTAATTTTGCCCAATGTGATATCATTCTTATATACACCGTTATATACAAAGGGAATCGACCCGTTTCGCCATAAACCATATAACTAGGAGTACTACTTTTCAGATTAAAAATATATTTCAAAAACTTGAGATGGACGCGTTCAATTATTTCAATGTTCTCAAAACCCCATATCTCGCATCCATACAAAAGTACTGGTGTGACAACTTTATCGAACAAATCAAGCTGGCAATCTACTGGTAAATTAAATTGTCTAATTTTTCGTATAACACCATACATGGCTTTTTGAGCTTGCTCACATAAATGTTTTTTAGCCTTACAAAATGAACCGGATCGGGAAAATAGTATACCTAGGTATTTAAATTCATTCACAATTTCAATAACAGAATTATTGTAGTAGAATACATTTTTTACAGATGGACCTTTCGAAAAAATCATAATTTTTGTTTTATCTACATTGACATTCAGTTTCCATTGTAAACAATACGAATGAAACTCATTAAGAGCGTGTTGCAAACCCTCAGCAGACTCAGACATCATAACTGTATCGTCAGCATAGAACAAAATAAATAATTTAAAATACAGCCAAAATTGGTTTTCTACAGTATTTGAACTGCTTGCATTAAAGGATAGCCCATGCACATTTTTACTAATGAGAAATTCTTCTAAATCATTAATATACATAGAAAACAAGAGAGGCGATAAATTTTCTCCTTGGCGTACACCAATGTTACAGTTGTAAAACTCAGATGAAAAACCATTCATAGTCACAAGGGACTTAACTCCATTATACATATTTTTTATAAATGTAAAACATTTACCACTAATGCCATTATTTAACAATTTGTACCAAAGCCCATTTCTCCACACCGTGTCGAATGCCTGTTTAAAGTCAACAAAAGCACAGAAAAGTTTCTTTTTGAAAGACATAACCATATTTGTAAGAAAATGTAAAGTCAGTATATTATCTAAGGATTTGAAGTTAGGGATGACTCTCAATCTACCAAAAATGAATGATGAACAATATCAGTATTTATATTTGGTCTTTAAGTTTCCCTCTAAGACCAAAATTTTATTCTGCTTATGACTTTCTAATTTACATTAAATTGAAAATGGTTTTATTCTTTTTAAAAGGAATGCAGAAAGATACTCGTATGCTAGAAATTTTGACCAAAATCATTATTTCTGCCAAATTTTACAAACAACTAAAGTATTTGGTCTTAGTCGTAAGTTGTTTTGTAAAACAGACCCCAGGTCTTCCAACAATCTGTTGGATTTCCATGGGTACCAATTGCGTTGTTAGCAGACCTATTTATGTATTCATATGAAGAAGAATTTATTCAAAATCTTATACATGGGCAATAGAAATCTCTTCCTGTGGCCTTCAACTCGACATTTAGATATATCGACGACGTATTATCAATTAAAAATAGTTAATTCCATTCATATGTTGACACGATATATCCAAGTGAGCTTGAAATACATGTAAAAGATATTACAGAGTCTGACCCATCTGTTTCATATTTGGATATTTCACTAGAAAAAGACGTTAATGGTAATCTAACAACAAAGCTTTATGATAAACGTGATGACTTTAAATTTTCATTCGTCAACTTCCCTTACTTATACAGCAATACACCCTTATCACCTGCATACGGCGTGTACATCTCTCAGTTGATTCGATACGCAAGAGCATGCTCTACGTATGAACAATTTCTAAAACGAGGTAAGTTATTGACAAACAAGTTGATGAAACAAGAATATCAACAGTCTCGTTTAAAGTCAGCATTTCGTAAGTTCTATGGTCCTATGATACAATGACCTTGTCAGCAAATACAATCTATCATAAAGTCATATGTTGACTGACGTTTTTCATACTAATTGTTAGGCCATTATTTACACATTATTTACCGATCATGACAAGGAGCTTACGGCTAGTGAGACCAGTCGGCAGGGGATGCTCACTCCTCCATGGCACCTGATCCCACCTCTGATGTTTTTGGAGGTCCATGTTTGCTCTGAATTCTGTTTGTTATCTCAATATTTCACTCCGACTAACGAAGAAAAAAATCTTTTAATATCAGCATTTTTTCATATATATCAATCAAGTAAATGCCAATTTAAAACAATGTATGTTTTACCTCCCAGGGAAAAAATTTGGTAGGTAAGTAGGTAGGTGGGAATTTTTTTCCAGAAAATTTCAACACACTTGTTAATGGGATTAGAAAACTCAGGAATAAAAAGGGAAAAAATGCTGTTTTATGGAGGTTAAAAAAGTTTTGAGTCGAGCCATATCTAGCCAGTCGGTTTGGAGAGGGCAACCAAACAATTTTTTTTAAAAATGGCCTAATCCACTCACTGTGATGTGACACAATTGCTCACAATTATAAATTTGCAATTCTTACATCATTTTACAATTTCTATGAAATCTTACCGTATTTTAATTTTTATAAAATGCTCAAACAAGTGTAGCTTTTTCAAAAAGCTTTGCTGTCTTTAGGAACAACCTGAAACAGTAAACTGACATACGCTTATCAGGCCGAATCATTCTTGAGTACTGTAGTTCTTGGCTTTAAAAATCTTCAACAGCTTTTTACAGACATTAGCCCTACTAAATAAACGGAGAAAAAAAGAATGAACACAAATAATAGTTGCTATGAAATGTTAGTCATTTTGATTTATTGCAATTTTGTTCGTTTTGTCTATTTTATTGAAAATCTTGAAACGAATGTTAGATCGCCAGAAAATTATCTCCCTTACTTTGACAGCATTTCAACCAATGAAATAATCGAAAATTTTCAGATCATGAATTTTCTACCAATCACAGAAGAGAGGCAGTGCACAGCCCGAAGATTCAACTCTGTATACCGTCTTCCAAGGAGGATGGTAATAAGAGGCTAAAAATTAAGCTAGAATATGAGTCCTTAGCGATGCCTTTTTTCCCATATTTTATAAAATTTCACTTTAGAAAAACTGGCACAGATCTAGGAATTATTTAAACAGTCTAGATGGATATAAAATAAGGTTAGGTTATATGTTTTTAAATGCCATAAGATTAATGATTTCAAGAGAGAGAAAGAGACGCAGATTTAATGCCGATTTGTAGTCCGGACACAGATTTAATGCCGATTTTTAGTCCGGATGTGCAAGTCACGTCGGAAGGGACGTTGCTCGTGTGCGATAGAAATTGAATCCGACAGGCAAATTGAAATCAATTGTTCATGACATTGTAAAATCAATAAAACACGACGGATTTCTTTCTTTATTTAACTGCAGAGAGAGTGTTATAGAGGCAGAGGGATCAGAGGACATTGAGAAGCAATGACGCTGTCAAACGTCATAAAACTCAGCGGCGACACGAATAGCGCCGGGTGACCAAATTTGAGGATATTAATTCGACTAATTGTCACTCAAACAAAGATTGTCAATACTTTTTAAACTTTTGATGTTAACAATCACTATAAATTTTGACAGCATAGTATATATATAATTGATTTTATCGCACCACTCCAACAACTTTTTGCTAACCCCTCATATTTTTCAACGTGTTCTCTATATAACTTTAAGTTATCTACGACACCATTGACAATGGAAAGAAAGAACTATGAGTCCTCAAACAAGTAATTAGTCATTTATTCACTTTCAAGAATAATTCGATGATCCAATTAGTTATCAAGTATCATTATGACAGTAAAGCCTAATATAATATGCAATAAATAATGTACAAATGTATTGATTATTAGTTATTTGTTCAACCCCTTATATAAAGATATTGATTATCAAGAGCTATTCCATTTGAACTTTTATAAAGGAGTTGTGGCACGCATACTCTCAGAATTTCTCCAAACTCTCTATGTTAAAGTCTTTGATACGTTTAGCTCAAATCATTCAAACATTGGTTGCTATGATTTTTCAGCGTGTTCAGAGTCCTATGTTTAACGTTTACAGCAATGCAGGTAAGTGACAATGACTGTTTCCAAAAGTTGAGGGCTTTCTTAAATGCCTGATAAATAGAAAGAGAAATCAACTATTACATACGTTACTATGGAAACAAAGTATTCAAACCTAATAATTTTATTTATTACATTTTCAACAGTGAAATACTGTGATTTATTTATTGAATAAAAGTGACATTCTCTCACAGTGTGAAAGAATACCAAAAATGATATTCTCTCACAGTGTGAAAGGATATCAAAGTAAGTAAAAAATAATTTCTGGCCTGTCATAAGATAGATATAGTAACTAAGCATCTTGATAGAGCTAAAACTGCAAATTTCTTCCTAAATATATTGCTAAAATCCATGCTATGTAATGTTTTCAATCTGACACACAACTTCTAAGCTATGACGTCTCAACCGCTCAACTATGACGTCAAGCCTATGACACTGTGTTAAGAAAAGACAGAGGCAAAGGGAAAATCAAAGAAAATGTAATAAACAGAAAATTCAATGTTTTGTAGATGAATATGGAATTTATTTCACTCGTGAGACAGGATTTTTTGATATTTTCACTCGTGCTTCGCACTCGTGAAAATATCAAAAAATCCTGCCCCACTCGTGAAATAAATTCCATATTCATCTACAAAACATTGAATATCCTCTATTCATTCATTTTTTTTTTCACAACCAAACATGAAAGTAATTATAGGTGAAATACAGCCAAATAATAGAGAAAAAACCTAGTAACATACATGTATACCAAGAAAGAAATGTGATATTCATAATTGATTGGCAATGGTTGTAAGGTTTTTATACTACAAAGGGATTCCAAATTTACTCTCTGTATGTGTTAATCTGATACCATCTTTATAAAGAGCACATTTTTTATATATATATAACTGGAGATTATTTTTGTGGTCCTAATTTCCACATTTAGAGCGTTGCTATGGAAATTATAGAAAATACGTATAAGAAGCTGAAAAATATTTTGTTTCCTTGGGTACGTATCCTTGTATGTAGATCCCCAAAGTTTAATAATTGTACAACTAACCTGACTTTCAATTTTGACTACGACACAATCTCTAATTTGATGCAAAGAAACTACCACATAGGTTTAATATTGATATAAAGTTTACCAAATTGAACAGTTTTTCTTCTTCGTAACCAAAGCACCAGTGTCATTTTCTTCTTCAAATATCAATAGAATTAGTTCTATCAGATAAGTACCAGTATACAATTCAAGGTGAGTCAATTAATGTGAACCTTATTTAAAAGGTAACTAAATTCCTAAAGCCAAGAAAAAAAATTATCACTTTAAACCACTGATGCATTGTTTCCATGGTTACACTACAATGTAGCAATTAATCCCATTTTTTCGTATGCTACTATCTGTGTTATAAGGTCCTAACAATGTACACTGTATATTTGCCAGTCTTGAATATACAAGTTTTTCCTTAAGATAGCATCATTAATAAATTTTGTGTGTCTATACTGTGTTACCATACTAAGACCATCCTTTTTTTAAAAAAAAAAAATAATAAAAAAAAAAATGTTCGGTTGCCCTCTCCCGACCGACTGGCTAAAAATGGCCCTACTCAAGACTTTTTTTTCAACCTCCAGGAATTAGATTTTTTTTCTTTTCTTTCCCGAATTTTCCCATTTCGTCAACATATATTATGATTTTTTTTTATAGAAAAAATGATTTTCCCACCTACCTACCAACCCATTTTTTTTAACCCTTAGTCCGGAGAGGGCAAGCAAACATTATTTTAAAGATGGCCTAACCATGAAAATTATTTTTAGAATAATATTGCCAAAACTTTATTACTTAAGGTCAACTATTTTCATTATTTGCCTTGTGTTGTTAATCGAGTTTGATCATCTTACACCATCATTAGTGAATATTTAGCGCTTTTCAACATTTTTCAGCATTTTAAATGTATCCCAAATATATCTATGGTTACCACTTACTTAGAGATATATACTAAATAGTTTCTTTGTAGTATAAGTGGCAACAAGGTGTAATGTTTTTGTGAGAGTGGTCTGTATTTTCTTAAACAAAATGTGCTGTAAAAATGATGAAAATTTGCGTAAAAAATGAGAAAATTCCGAAATTGTCACATTTTGTGACTTTCCTGTGACCTTTATGTATCCCATAACCTAGAATCAATACTAATTTTGTAGCAGGGAAGACAACAGGTTTTAATGAAAAAACTGTTGCATCGTTCTTAGAGACATGCTAAACAAGGGACCAAAAGGGGTTCTTACACTATCCTGTCTTTTATTTGATATATGTTTCTAGTGTCAAGTTGTAGTCTCATTAAAATCGGTGACCATGCGTGCCAAAATAGTTTAAGTGGTTGCAGACAATAGCTCTTAATTGTTTACCAACCCTGTTGTTGGCTGTGTGGTTGATTCATTCCATTGATATTTATTTTATAATTAAGTCTCTTTTAATAAGTACATTTTTTAAACTTGTATGTTTCTGACAGGAAACCAATAAAAATACTCAGTCCCTATTTACTGTAATTAAATTTCTGAAATTAATGGTTTGATTTATTCAAAATCAGCATACTTTGATGCTACTATGGTCATTTGATATCCATAGTTTTATAATGCGTACAAAAAATTGAAAGGTGTTTATTACTTTAAATTGCAATTATATTACTATTGATTTTTAAAAAATTCAAGGGTATTGTGTGTCTAACTTGAAGTATCTAGAAGAATAGTAATTGATTCTGGAAATTTGCAACTTGCAATTGTAATAGATAATTGTGGGTCTTAATTCTCAGTTCTATATTGATTTTAAAAACAAAAAGAGAGATTCTTTTACTGGACCTTTGTGGTAATGGTTTGTCAATTTCCCCCCTCAATATTTCAAACTGTTACGTTTGCTTGTTGAGTCTTTTAAATACAGCTCTATCTACCAATCATTGTTTTAGGTCGTTCCGTTTAGTGCATTAGTAAACTTTTTGATAACCATCACAGCTTTACATGATCATGTCACGTTTTTTTAATGAGCCATTAGGTAGATTTAACTGAACGAATCAAAATGGTGACGATATTTTACTGGGCTGTTTTGTATTTCATTTGTACATGTAAGTATTATTATATTTTCATACAGTTTGACGTAATAGTGACATATATTCAACATATTAAGTGTTTTGTGGGTTTGTCCAGGATTAAAGTTATCAAAATTTTCCTTATGTTACTTGGCGTATTTTACTGCTTGAATTTGAAATTAAAAAACAGAACATAATTTATAATAAGTCAATAACACAATTATGTGTACTGATTTGTTATTAAGAATTTCTTCTACAAGATCTTGTTGATTTGCTTTTGAACATATTTTTAAAATTTGATAAATTAAGAGGATTCGAAACAAGTTTTAACAACTTACCGATCCTCTAGGAGAAAATATGATACTCAAAAAATATATGCTATAGATATTTGTAAAACAGTATGGAAGGGTTCTATTATTGCTAAAACACACATCTTTTACGAAATTTACATACGAAGCCCCACAAATCTCTCATTATTTCTGCATTAAAACTCGGTACAAAACCATGTGAAATCCCCCTCAAGCTCAAAATAAGAGCAATACAGTTTATCAAGTACCAAATTAATTAAAATACAAGAAAATATTAGAAAAACTCACTTTCTTCGGATTTTTGGTATCTTATGACCTTAAATACAGCAACATGTCATGTGAAATAATTTATAAAACTGTAAATCTTAAAAGAAATGCAAGTAAAACAACTATGTTTAATTTGAGAACATAGCAATTAAAATTCCCAGGTTTCATCAATAAATTTCTGGAAACAGAATAAAACAGTTATTTTAAAAATCTGTAAGGCAAATTTACATTACTCTACGGAAGCCCATTTAGGACCTACATGTATCAAAAAATATTTTTGAATTCGACATAACGAATTGTCGAATTTGTTAAAACGAATTTAATTCGTTATAAAAAAAAATTTGAATTCATTTTAACCAATTAAATCTGTTATAACAGATATCTTAAGTTCGTTATAACGAATTTTAAAAAAATGTAATATCGAATTAAATTCGTTCAAACGGATTCTAAAATTTGTTATTACAAATTAAATTCATTATAACAATTTTTGAATTCGTTATAACAAATTAAATTTGTTATAACGAATTGGATGAATTCGTGATAACAAATTCACAAATACTTTCTATGGACCCCAATTGTCGAATTTGATTAAAACGACTTTAATTCCTTATTACAAATTTAAGAATTCGTTTAAACGAATTTAATCTGTTACTACAATTTTTCGAATTCGTTATAACGAATTCAATAAATTTGTTTTAACAAATTTAATTCGTTATAACGAATTCAAAAAATTGTTATAACGAATTAAATTCGTTCTAACAAATTCGACAATTCGTTCTATCAAATTCAAAAATATTTTTTGATTGGTCCTATATAGACCTCCGTATTACTTTCATAAAATAGATTTTGCCAATTTAACCAAATCCTTTGAATTTTGTGCTGACGTCACACAGGCTATATATATTTTTTTATTTTGCAGCATCAAAGTGCCTTTACCTACAACAAATCAAGAGATTAATCTAACAATCAATAAATATCTTACCGGTGACTCAAAAAATTACTTAATATAAAGAGCCCGGTCCTGGCCTTGAATATAGCCTTTTTGTATACTATCATCGACTTGAGATTTAGATTCTCAAAACGTTTGGAATACTGTCCAAAACAGGAGATTATATATATATATATATATATATATATATATATATATATATATATATATATATATATATATATATATATATATATATATATATATATACACAGTTGAACTTCGGTATCTCGAATACCATGGATATGTCGAAGTAATTTGGAAGTCCCAACCACTTATTATTCAAGTATTTTACCCCTGATATCTCGAATCCTCGGATATCCCGAAGTTTTTTCTCGGTCCCATCAGCAATTCGTTATACCGGACTCATAAATAATGTTCTATATAGGCCCTGAATGTCAAATTTGATAAAACGAATTTAATCTGTATAACAAATTTAAAAATTCGTTTAAACGAATTTAATTCGTTATGAAAAATTTAAGAATTTAAATTGTTGTAACAATTTTTTGGATTCGTTTTAACGAATTCAACAAATCTGTCATAACAAATTTAATCCGTTATAACGAATTTAAAAAAAAGTTATATCGAATTTAATTCGTTTTAACCAATTCAACGATTTGTTAAATTGAATTCAAATATCTTTTTGATAGGTCCTAAATGGGCTTCTGTCATTGAAATAAAACATGATAAAATTTTATTGTAGACTGATTCCTATAGTTCAATTCTTTTTTCAAAACGTTGGAATAAAGAAGACATTTTAGTATTATTTTGTGCGTTATTAAATTTCAAATATTCCATAATCCTGGGTTGTACGCTGGCGACACCGAGGGAAATAGTCTACTCGCAAAACGAAAGTAGAAAAAAAAAAGCCAGTGCTGAATAAGTCTCTAAAACTTAGAAATCCTGTTGGAAGGCTAAATTTTGTATAAAATATATAATAAATAAGATAAATATTTCTTAATATAATTTCTACGTGATTTTCCCATAATGCATGTTTCGTAAAAATGGCCATGGCATTGTTTCTTCGAAAGGTTGACAAATCGGGAGTTTAATCATTCTCCTGCTTTTTTTCTTCAGGATCTGTAAACTAATTCTAAACATAACATGTATATGCAAAGACAGCTTTTATAATAGTGCTTATTTCTCTTTAAAACTGGTCATTTTACCGTAACTTTGATCACCATGTCTCGAAGAAATATTATACACTTGTCTTATGAATTTTTACCTGGACAATATGACTATCTCATAATTATAAAAAAGGAATTATTATTTTATTAAATTATATGATGCTTCCAATGCAGTTCGGTATTTTCTGTTTCAAAAGTAAAGTCGATATACGTGTAAATTTGGATAATATACTAAATTATAGATTGTATCTCGAAATGAACCCTCCTTCTTAATTACAATGTAAATAGATATGACTGATTTTTCTTTTCATTTATTTAATTATTTGACAGACTGATTATTTATATATAGTTCATTTCTTAATCATAAAGTAAAAATAAAATATCAGCTCTGGCTCCTTTATCCCGATGTTATATATGCGGTAGACATCAAAAGACTGAATGTTAGTTCAATGATCGGTACGATCCCCAGCCAAGGTATACAAGATATACACAAAGGCAAAATGTCAATCAAATTACAGTATCCAATCTCAGGCTCAGTTTCATCTGATTGACAGGGGTTCACAGACCAGGTAAATTTGAGGGCGGTGCTTATCCCCCCTTTAAATGATTATTTATACAGATATAAATATAAACAATAAAATAAATGTCTTTCTTTGGTAGTTAGTACGGGATTTAACGTCGCAGCGATTGCAGAAAAAAATTACAAAACCCGCTTACGCGAGTCATGTATTTTTTCTGCAACAGCTGCGACATTAATTCCCGTACTAACAACCAAAAAAGCATTTTATTGTTTAAATAAACGCTCTAGGTAAATATCTGTGTACAGAAGAAAGCCATTTAAAAAATAAAATATGTAATAATCTGGATGTATTTGAACAGTAAACACGATACCACCGACAGAAGGAGCGTGGAGCACCTCTGATGTCCATACGATACGCGGAAGTATACTATCCACTTCCACGTATCATAAATTGATCCGCCCTTCAGAAAGAACCAATGTTAACGTTTCTCTGAGTCTCCTGACGATTAATAATTTAGTATGTTGATTTTATTTTTAACCAAATTGTGTTATAATGAAATGTCAAAGTTGCAAAATTTCTGCTTTTTATGTTTAACAATTTTACATATAAGCTATACATGTAAGCGAAATAAAAGTATTCTTATATATAAGTGCATTTACCTTTCCTATTGCTTTCTATGATAAACTAATGGTAATCCATATGAAAACTGCCTCTTGCAAAGCAACTTTGTTTTTCCCTAATCCACTAAAAGATTTTAAATTGTTTATTTTTTTAAATTATATATGTTTACAGGAAGTAAAGACACAAACGTTGTCCACTACAGGATGGTTGACCATTGTATGTTATTTTTTCCCTTTGATTCATTCTCAAAATTTAATTATGACAAGATTAATCAAAGTAAAAATAATTGATAACACCATATTAAAAAATCTGTTTTCTTTGAAATAGAGACCTATTTTGGTTCCTAGAGTCGATGTATATGATTTAACTTCTGTTATTATAGGAGTGGATGGATGATCGGTTGACATGGAACGGGGGCACGTACCCGGATGTTACACATGTTTACTCACTAGATTCAGAAGTTTGGAAACCGGAATTGTTCATCGATAACTCGTGAGTACATACAGTTTAAATGAACAGGAAAAACTAGTCTGGTTTCCTTCCCACAATTCTCTACAACGTAGAGAATGTGCAAACGGGATTATGGGAAGGGAACGGACTATAAGGGAAAACTTACTTATGGTCATTTAATCCTCCTAATCGTCATCTAACGTAACTTTTCGCAACCATTTTCGCATCCTTGAACACCATTTCCTTTTCAGTCTTGCTGATGTATCGATATTGGAAGACGAAAATGTCATGTTTAAAATAAGTCGTGATGGTGAGGTTGAGTGGAAGCTACCTCGGATCTTTACGACATTTTGTAACGTTGACGTCACATATTATCCATTTGATACCCAAACGTGTGTCATAGAAATCACTAGCTGGGCGTATACTATCGATGAATTGGTTATGAATGCTTCTAGGAGCTCTGTAAACATTGAGGACATCAAGTAAGATAAAAGTGTGTTTTCTTGACTTGGAATTGGCGTATCATTTGTTGTTGTAAGATACAAATAAATAAGCTAACCAAATATGATGTTTTCCTCTTAACTTAAACTAAATCTGAAAATGATCTTATTTATAAATTAACATATCAATTTTATCTATATATTCATTTACTTATTTATTTATTCATTGCTGTTAAAATTCATTATTTCACACCTTATTACTTGCACGGGTACTTGCAGCTATGTTTTCCTTACAACAAAATTATATAACCCATTTCCTGGTAAATCAAGTATAAGATATTTTTTGGTGTTTGTGTTTGTGAAAAAAAATAAAACATCGTGATTTGTTTATACAGACCACATGGTGAGTGGAGTATCCTATCTTCATCTGTCGAAGAGAAGGAACTACAAGAAACAAAAGTAAATGGTGATGTGGAAAAGTATGCGCAGTTGGATTTCAGCATAAAAATGAAACGAAAGTCGAATTACTACATATCCAGTGTGTTACTTCCGATTTTACTGACCTCCTATTTAAACAATTTTGTCTTTATTCTTCCGGTTGATTCAGGCGAAAAGGTATGAAGTTACTAGTAAATACAACATGTACCTGCTTGAAAGCATTTTTTTCCCAAAATATTTATAACTACAATTTTGATGACTAGATGACTCATACACGTTGGTTTTTACTAGGTTGGTTTTATACTTACTGTACTTTTGGCCCTGGCGGTTCTTCTTACTTTGGTCAGTGACAGTATACCATCTACGTCCATCAACACTAGCGTTTTATGTGAGTAGCATTCATATAAATGCTGCCGGCATATAATCTGTTGATATTATAATACTGTGATTGATTCGTTTGACTAATCAATAATTATAATAGTTTAATAAACACAATCTAGATCAACGTTCTATCTGTTTCAAGCTTACTACAATTAGGAAAAATACAAATTGAAACTGATAAAAATTGATACTATTTTCTAAAGATTTGATTGATTGATTGGTTGTTGTTTTACGTCCCATTTGAGAATTTTTCACTCACACAGAGACGTCACTATATACCGGTGAAGGGCTTCAAATTTTGACCTTTACTCGGCACTTAGGGCCATTGAGCAGTGAGGGAACTTAATCGTGCTTACGCCTGCCGTGACACGGGGCCTCGGTTTTTAAGGTCTCATCCGAATGACCCGCAACATTCACTTTGACGAGCGCATGGCGAAGGAACAGTTGCTACCTATTTTTTGTCGACTTAAGTCAGTCGCGGCCGAGATTCGAACTCACGACCTTCCGATCACGGAGCGAGCCCTCTACCGACTGAGCTACCATGAACGGTCTAAAGATTTGCCAAGTTATTTTAAAATATTTTATAATGCTGAGTAATATAATATATGTTCAAATTTCTCTTATGATAAAATTCTTTTTTCAGCTGTCTATCTTGCCGTTACCCTTTGCCTGGGAGTCTTGTGTTGCTTACTGACCGTCCTAGTTATAAGGATTCACTTTAAGGACCCGGATACACCTGTCTCAACCTGGTGGAAGTCCCTCCATGATAAACTACTTGTGCCCTTTTCATGTTGGAATGGATGTTTTTGTCGGTGTAGGAAAGGCAAAAACAACGTAAAACCGACAGCTGCCAAAAATGATATGGTTGTCGTGAATTATGAGGATGGTAAAGATGATACGACTACCGCCGATGAACCTGGTACTTCCGGTGAATTGAAATGGACGGAATTGTCTGCTATCTTAGATCATTTTTTCCTGGTTTTAATGATAATAATTACAACAATATCTTCTACCATATTTATGATAACTCTAGCAGCTGGAGGCAATATCAACACATAACAGAATTCTTAATTTTAACGTCATGCATTTTTAAAAAAAAAATATTTTTTGTAAAAATGACTTTGAAACTGTATAACTGTCCAATTCTTTAACTGGAAAAAGACTTAACTTGAAGGCTGACCTGCTTTCCTTCTTGGGGTGATTTTCTACATTGTCTTTTTCGCATCTGCGACTCCTACTCCAATATCATTCTTTTCTTCAAACTTATAAGATGTTATAGACTGCATTTTGATTACGTGTAAATGGTCAATTGAGAAGAGTAACTGTAATTGAATCAATTATTGATGACCATTATTGAGAGGAATTGTTATTAAGGTTACAATAATGTGTTGTTTAATGTTTTTGTTGTTTTCTTTGAAGTCACCCCTAATGATATAAAAGTTATGGAAATGAGTGAGTTAGTAAAACATCCCCATTACAGATACACTTCTATCAATTTCGTAAGGCCGTAATTAATATCTAATTATACAAACTGCATACTTTGGTGATGGCGATATCAATCCTTAAAGTGACACTGTGACGGAAAAAGGGGAAAACTGACAAAAGTAGAATTTTTGGATGACACATGCAAATTTTATTCAATTCTTGAAGATATTAGGTTTCAGAAAATTACAGGTTTCAGAACCTAAAAAATCTACTTTTTTGGAAAAAAAATAAAAGTAAAAATAATTTTTGTTTGCTCCAACACAAAAATATTGCTTCACTTCTTCCTCTTCATTGTACGCATGCGCAGAAAAGTTGAAGAATTTACCATGGTGTCAATTCCATAGATATAAATATCGGATGACCGAGGATTTTGATACAATCTTCAATAAAGATGATCAGAACTTGTTTCTCATTTCTGTTTGCTCCAATTCAATGAAATTTACAAGTTTCACGCTAAAAATAAAAGTCGCTCGACCTTGATATTGTTGACATTGACGATAACAACAAAGCGATAGATACAACCTTTGTTCTTCCGGCACTTATATTTTGCAGTTCTTTTCTTGTTTTACAATGCAGTTGAGTTGTCAAAACTTCGTTTTAGTCATATTTCACATAAATCTTTTCTTTTATGATACAATTATCTTAAAAGAAACACATGATTTTGACTCATTATGTAACTTTTATGATATTTCAAAAATTGATAACTATAAAGGAAGTACGTTTTTAATTTACTGTTCAATAATACAGTTGAAACACTAGTTCATGCATGTTCAACTATTCTGAACATTTACATTGATCCTACAGTTTTTGCGTTAATTCTGTTATATTTTTAATTATAATAATTATGTTTTTTAATTTGTCAGGTGGATGTATAAATTCATACATTCAAAGGTTATTACATGTATAATACTTCTGATGAATATGCAACCATTACAGTTGTCTTAACGTACGATTTCTATGTTCTTAATGTTTCAGATGATTCTTGTTTTTAAAAAATTAAAGGGCTTTTACCCAAAATATAAATGTTTTGATTTTTTGCCATGAATCCATTCCTTCTGATGATTTAAATCGGGAAATACAACGATTATAGCATAGGCGTTGGAACCGGGGATGGGTCTAGGGGGACTTAGCCCCCCCCCCCTTTTTTTTGAAAAGATAGAAATAATATAGGCAATGAAAATTGGGGCTTAGTCCCCAAAAGTTTCCCCCCCCACACACACACACACACACTTTCAGTTACCCCCCTCCCCACATACACTTTCAACAATATGCTTCCGACGCCTATGGATAATAAATTAATTGCAATCTAATGCACTTTTTAAGGTCTGAAATTTAAATCTTGTGATATGCATGCATATTTCAAGAAAAATTTGCGTCATGAATGTGACGTCATGCGCAACACCTTGGAAGGAGAAATAAGAAAACTGTGCAAATTAGAAGTGCTTTTATAACTTTTTTTTTTTTAGCTTAATTGCTTTAATGTCACATATGTTTTTGCAATGATAATTATCTAATTGTAAATATCTAGTAATTATAAATTGTAAAGCAAAAAATCTTATGTTCTCTCTGATTTTAAATATAATTGTGTTGTTAACATTTTTGTGATGTGCATCACAATATCGATTCGAAGTCATATTTTATGTGTCAAAAATGCTGTAAAATGCATTGAATTTTTTTTTAAGTTTATTTAACATGTAACATCAACGGCTTGAAAAAGATAAAAACAATGAATATGGATTAAAGGAATTAAAAATTTAATGCTAAGAGTATGACATATTTTTTGTACGGAATAGCTTAACAAGGTGTAAATATAAATTCCCAATATTTATTGCCGATGTATGATCCTTCAGTATATATATAGGGGTGGACCAATATGTCATATATTTCGAGGGAAAAATCGTCATGCTTTTAATGAATTATCAAAAAATACATTTCAAGCTAGTTGTCAATTAGCAACAATGATTATATTCCAAAACTGTATTAAATCACAAATCGCGATAGGTATAATAGATAACGGCCAAAGGTCACTTTCTGATAAGAAATAAGAACGTCAGATTTCCTGCTTTGAAAATGGCGTTCTCTGAAAGTTTCCTCGTGATCCTTTTGTTCTTGTCAACTACATGTATTTTCACATGCAACGCCGAGACAGCTTTCGAAGAGAGTAAAATGAATCTGCTTTTGGAAGAATTGACTTCATTAAGGAAGACTGTTTTTGCGCTAGAGAATAAGGTTCATTACCAAAGTGGCCTTATTGATGACTTCAAAGAACGAAATACTCTCCAAGAAAGACGTATAACAGAGCTAGAGACTGCCCAACATAGGCGAGACAAAGTCTGTGAGGAGATGAAAATCCGACTGGAGAACACAGAATCTAGATTTAACAACCACTTTTCCGTGTCTTCAGACCGTACTAACATCACAACTAAATCAAATGGAGAAGATATCCCTGAAAGAATAATGAGATCAAGTAAGTTATGTTGATTTATATCGCGTATCAAGTATACGAAAATACAGAAATTCTTATCTGCTCTCTCTCTCTCTCTCTCTCTCTCTATTACCTTAAAACTTTCTTGACAGGACGTCGACTGCTGATTAATACCATTAGCAATGGAATGCCTCCGTATGAGGAGGGCGTAATCGCTTTTTATGCCCAGATGTCCTCAGCAGAAGTTAGTCCGGGCGTTCACCATACCCTCATCTTTGATAAAGTACGCACTAATGTTGGCAACGGATATAATGGAGTCACTGGGGTCTTTACAGCACCACAAGAGGGAATTTACGCATTTATCTGGGTTATTAGAATGTCTGATGCTGAACACTCAACTGAATTAATGATTAACAACGATATCTTTGGTGTTACATTTTTGCGCGCCAAAAATGGCGACGACGGATCTGTAAGCGGTACTGCTATTGCGCATGTCGCGAGAGGAGATGTTGTATTTGTCCGCATCCATTCCACGTACGCTGGCGATGGCAACGTTCATAGTAATCTGCATGGCAAGCCAACATTTTCCGGATGGTTACTGCACTAAATTGATATTCTTGTGTTTAATTGTGATCACAATACTTGTTTTTCTGACCATCCTTTTTATTAACTTTATATTTCAAAATGTATTTTTTCGGGGGTGAATGGGGGTGGGTTTAAGGAATTGTCATTTATGTTTTCTCTCGGAAGGAATCACAGTGTGACGTACTAAGCAAAGCATTTCACATTTGCCTACAGGTCCAAGCAATCGTTGATTTTGCAACATCCACTATACTTAACATAAATACGAATTATTTTTTGGTCTCTTTAATTTATGAAAAGAATTCATTGGTCTTTCATTGTTGAAACGTATGTCATTCATTCCAATAAAAGACCATATACATATGTGTCATTTATATCCCTTTTGTGGGTCACATGATATAAATTCTGCCAGATTTCTAGATTCACATTAGTAGTCTGTAGATTGCTAGGAAACTTCCTGTTTTCGTCGGGACATCAGGTAGACAACGTTTAACATGACTAATAATGAATAATATTACACAGATGATTTAATGTTATTTCATGATCACCAATGAAATGAAGTGAGTTAAACATGCATAATATGCATACTTTGTTACACTGTAATCGTTGAAAGCGCAAATCCCTGATTTCTCTGAATAGTCATCTTCGCTATCCAAGGGTTTCTGATCCTCTACCCTCCTCCATTGTGAGGAGAGTAGCGGATCAGAAACCCTTGATTAGTGAAAATGCTGAATAGTATATAACTTCTGAGTCTAAATAATGGTCAATCTGAATATTGTAAAATTTTCATTACTATGCAAGAATTGGAACTGAAGTATTCTTTGTGAAATGTTCTCTTTCTGGCACAATCAATCGCATTAAGCCATGTGGCAGAATTAATGGCAATTGAAGTCATCATATAATAACCCGGTTTTTTTGTTTGTTTGTTTGTTTGTTTTTTGTTTTGTTTTTGTTTTTGTTTTTTGTTTTTTTGTATTTTTTTTTTTTGCAAAAGTCGTAACCTTGAAGTCTTTAAAGAATTTTATTTCTTTCTTCTATATATGTGGGGGTTTTTTTCATTTATGAACCAGTCTGTTTGGAACACGCTATATTAAAGATATATTTAATCAGTTTGATTTTATGCATATTGTGTATAAAGAAAACTTTTGATTCGTATTCAAGAGTGCAAACACAAAACTCTAGCACTTTGCAGTTGTGGACACTACTTATCTCTGGTCGTTTTTTTATTTTCGTACATTTTACGGTCGTTTTTAATTTCAATGTCACTAAATTGTTAATTATTATATATTAGTAATTTATAAAATGATTTAATGAAAACAAAGAAATTTACAATAATTTTTTCCTGTTCTTTCTTTAATCAAGTTATCAGCCTCGGGTTTCCCAGTGATTTTCAATGCTATTTTTATATCCCTCGCTTGATAAGCGGAGGTATATAATGATGGGGTTGTCCGTCCGTCCATTACGTTGGGGTACCCATCTCTTATCTGCGACTCCTCCTATACCACTTTAAAGTATAATGAGACTTTCACGGATGGAATCTATACCGGTATTACATAGTGCCATTGTGCATCATATTGTGCATCACATTTTAACTTTTGTTCGGTTAGAGCTATGACTTTCATATTTCACATATGTATTTCTTGTGACAAGACCTTTCTTTGGGTACCAACAAATTTGGACCTTCTGACCTTGACCTTTGAGTTTGAACCACTTCTGCAAAATTTTACCAAACTTTATTGAGAAGGATTTCATACTTCCCATGTGCATTCCTTGTGGCAATACCTTTCCTTGGGTACCAACAATTTTGACCTTGACCTCGGAGTTTGACCTACTTTTGAAAACTTTAACCTTGACTATAACTTTTGAACAGTTGGTGCTAGAGATTTCACATTTCACTTATATATTTCTTATGACAAGGCCTTTCCATTGGTTTCAACAACATTGACCTTGACCTTGGAGTTTCACCTACTTTTGAAAATACTTTTACCTTGGCCATAACTTTTGAACGGGCGAAGGAAGGGCTTTCATATGTCACATATCTATTCCTCGTGACAAGACTTTTACTTGGGTACAAATATTTTTGACTTTGGCCTTTGAATTTGACATATTTTTCAAAAACTTTGACCGTAATTTTTGAAGAGTTTGTGCTAGGGTTTTCATATGTCTCATGTGTATTCCTTGTGACAAAACCTTCCCTTTTGACCATAACAGTGGAGATTTTGAAAAAAAAAAATTAAACCTTGACCATAATTTCTAAATGGTTGATGCAAGGGCTTTCATATTTCACAGGTTGATTCCTAGTAACAAGACCTTTCTTTGGTACCAACATTTTTTATCTCTTGACCTTGTCCTTGGAGTTTGACTTGCATTTCGCCATGAGCTGCCATACTGGGGAATCGGTGTTTCACAAACACATCTTGTTTATCAAGGAATTGGAAAACAGGGTTAACATTGTATGGCATATATATGTATTTGATATATCAATGCTGCATTGAAATATGAATAGTATTCACGATGGCTAAATGTTCGCGGAAAACTCATTGATGGCGAATATAATGAAATTAGTACCACCGTGATGCATCCCATTTTTACAGCATTGTTTATGCCAATTATGTTCAATGTCTAATTGTCTTGGTCACTCAGCAGGAAAACCAGTATTGTTTGTAGTTCTTACGTAGATGAAGTCATCAAAATCGATTAGAGGAATAGGCTTCAGTGTGTCCAAACGGAATCATTTATCAGTGTAGTGTAGTATATTTGAATAAAGAAGGAAGCATCGTCTAAATACAAAGAGTTTTTGAGGCAGTTGGAAATAATAACCATGGATAGGCTAGCTTATTCGATTGCAAATTACAATATCGTAATTCAATAGGAATGTTCTTTATACTTCATTTAAATTTCTAGTTTAACATTGAGGAAAAAACTGTAAATTGCTTTTCAGATGAGTTTTTTCTAATATATATACGTATATATGTGTGTGTGTTTCGCATTTTTTTTCAAAAATTAAAGTTGAATCATCAGTATTATTATTGCAAAAAATAGATTTTTACGAGAAACAGGTTCTGGTCTTTTCATCATACTCGGAGCATTTTGTTTAAGAGTTGGTCGGCAGATGAAGAAACCACGAATTTAAAATAAAATGAACGTTTTATCCTCATATTTCAATATATAATTGATTGAAGGAGTGAGATTATCATCAACTCTTTATAAAGGTAATCGAAGATTCGGGGGCATATAATTTTTGCCCTGTCCGTCCGTCTGTCTGTCTAGCTGTCTGTTTGTCCCCAAAAACTTTAATCTTGTCCATAACTTTTGATTGGTTGAAGCTATGGCTTTCATATTTCACATGTGTTTTCCTTGTGACAAGATTTTTCTTTGCGTACCATCATATTTGACATTTTGACCTTGACCTTGGAGTTTGACCAGCCTTTGCAAAGTTTTATGAGACTTTAACCTTGGCCATAACTTTTGAACAGTTTGTGCTAGGCCTTTCATACTTCACATGTGTATTTCTTCACTTGGATACCAACGACTTTGACCCTTTGACCTTGACCTTGGAGTTGACCTATTTTAATTTTGAAAAACTTTAGCCTTGGCCATAACTTTTGTACAGTTAGTGCTAGGGCTTTCATACTTCACTTATGCATTTCTTGCGACAAGACCTTCCTTTAGATACCAATACCTTTTACCCTTTGACCTTGTCCTTGGAGTCTGACCTTTTTAAAAAACTTGAACCTTGGCCATAACTTTTAAACAGTTGGTGTTAGGGTTTTCATACTTCACAAATGCATTATATGTGACAAGACCTTTCTTTAGATGCCAACAACTTTGACCTTGACCTTGGAGTTTGATCTACTTTTTGAAAACTTTAACCTTTGCCATACCTTTTGAAACAGTTTGTGCTAGGGCTTTCATATTTAACATGTCTATTCCTTGTGACAAGACCTTCCTTTGGATACCAAGAATTTTGGCATTGACCTTAGCTTTGGAGTTTGACTTACCTTCAAAAGTTTAACCTCGGCCATAACATTTGAAAGTTTGGTTCTAGGGGTTTCACATTTCACAATAATGTGTATCACTTGTGACAAGATCTTCCCTTGGGCACCATTTGACCTTGACCTTGCCGTTTTACTTACTTTGAAAAAACTTTAACCTTTGCCATAATGTTTGAACGGTTGGTACTAGGGCTTTCATATTTCACAGGTGTATTCCTCAAGACAAGACCTTCGTTGGTTACCAACATCTTTGATCTCTTTACCTGGAGTTTGACTTTCACCTTAACATTCGTCATTCGTCTATCTAAAAACACAACCTTTCGGTGACTTTAAAGCTGACACGATTCGTAAAAGGAATTTGTCCGCCATATTCTTTTATTCTTTCGTTATATCTGAGGCCCCTATATTACTTGTTCAGTTAAATAATTTTTCACCTCTGTAGACGGATGTATACTTCACAGCTATTGTAAAACACTCGGTAGCGACAATAATAACTGTGCTTCTTCCACGAAATCAGAGAAAGTTACCAAAGAAACTAACAACAATTGCACAGGTTAATGCAGTATAAAAAAACGCACAGGTATTCGTAAACTGCAATAAAATGTAAACAAAGCTAATGTACGATAACCAGTACCAACACGTTTCGTCCATTCTACGCAGGTACCCGTGACAAAGAAGCAGTCAGGTGTAACGAATGCAAAGGGTATACCCCAGTGCTGATATCGGAGAGTTGAAAAATAATATGGCGTATATCTATTTACGTTGCGTATTCAGCTTTAATAAGAAATCTGTTTCTCATTTCGCGGAGAAATGACCTGCATTTTTTTTTTGTATTCTAACCTTCAAAGATAATAGAAAACACATTTTATATCATTTGAAATACCAAGTTGAATGAAATACTTTGTTTTTATGATGTAGCAAAGTTAGAAATATAAGGCTGAGTCTAATGAATTGTTATAATAATTGCTGAAATATACGTACATGTAAGCCTATTTTCATATGGCATTTTTAGGACCAAATTCAAATAAAAACTCCA